CATCCAATGCTGGTGATTTCGTTATCGATCTCGCTGTCGATTGCACTATCGATATCAAGGCTGGACACCCCCGGCCACCGCCCGCCCACCGCCGACGGAACATAGACGGGACACCAATGCGACACCAACGGGACACCGTTTTTTGAACGTAGGCCGGAGGGCTTGGTAACGCAGAGCGAGCGTAGCGAGCGTCTGCGCCGCCATTTGTTGTTCAAGTGGCCGGTGCTCTATGTGCCCGGGTCGTGAGCGCAGCTATCGATCCGTTACTGCATCGGGAAGTTGTCTTACTCGAATTTGCTTCCCACATCTATCTATCTCCATCATTACTACAAATCAAGGTGTCACTTCTCTTTTTGCTCGGTAGCGGAGCTGGCCTCGCTCGCGTGTGGTCAGTTTTGTCTTTCGCAGTCCTACTCCACGGCGCGGCATGGTATGCCGCTAGTCCTATTGTGATGTCCGAGCGTGACTTCTGGCTGGCATGCAGAAGCGCCCATAACGGGAACGCTACATCCCCTACCTGTGACGCCCGCTGGACTACCACCAGGAGCGTATACGCCACGGCTTTATGCCACGACGCTCCGACATACGACGCGCTTGGGAAAAAAAAACACGACAATACCAACTACCTTGGCGCAGCAGCACTTCACCCTTTTTGCTTAAACCAACATGGGGACATGCCTCTACAGCCGATTCGCCAACTCACGGCGACAGACACGCCAAAGACACGTCCCAACACCAGCTACGACCCAACATGTCAGCAGCACCCAGGGGTGATAACACCACCAGGGGCCTTCACTGGGACCCCGCGGAACACGTAGCGCTTCTCGAGTTCACTCGAGAAGTTCAGGCGTGGCTTAATGTCACCAGCGCGCGCACGACACCACAATAACAGGTTGCATGTCTGCAGCGTGGATTTGGTGGGCTAGCGCGCACCATCGGGATGCGGGTCCCGCCGCAGACGATCAACAACGGCGTGGCTATACAAGAGGCCCCCACGGACACTGTCGCATACGTTGTGTTGCTCCCTAGCGCCAAGTTGGAGAACCTAGGGAATGAGCGGCAGCTCGCTTCAGGAACGGCGCTTATCGGCTTCAGGTCCGAAACCAGTGGACAAACACACGTTCAATCTTTGCTCGGTTCGAGATCGCTCGTCTTGAGGCCGATTCTGCAAGCCCTGCTATCCCGAACTTTGTGTTACTCACCATCGTGCTGTTCAGAGCGCTACGGTTCGGCCATGGCAGAGCTGCCCCATTATTTCAACCATTGAATTGCCGAATGCGACGAACACAGCAGCAACATGATGAGCGGCTGGACCGCATGCGCAGCTTCGGTCACTTAGCCGAGCTCGCACCCGGCAGCAGTGGTAACGCCGGGAGGCGGAGGGCGCGGGAACGCGACGCCATACATGGCCACCGCCGGCGGAGAAGCGGCCGCGCCTACCAACATCTGGGGCGACGACCCACACAGCCCAGAAGAAGCCACAGCTATGCTAGCTGGCCAGAGATCAGGCATCATCATCACACCCGAACCCGAACCCGAACCCTGCCTCCTACGCTGCACCTGACAGGCAGACCGCCGCCTGGGGCTCAGCCTCCAATCGGGACTCGCCCTTCGTCTACGGGACCGATGCAGGCGCGGCATCTCCGCACGGAGTCGAACCCCTAGACATGACAGACATACCCAACGGATGAGGAGACGCGAAGACCGCTAATTTCTTTTATTGGGCCATCAGCATGCGAAGCATCGATGCGGACTGTTTACCAAAAAGCCGATCTGACGGGTCCGTAGGGCAGTCAGGAAGGTTCTTCACAGGCGGGGGAAGGGGCGGCGTGGCGAGGGTGGACGCCGTAACCGACGGCGGCACGGTCGTGGCTCTGCCCTCTTCATGGCGTCCTTGACGGACGCCGACCACGAAGAATTCTTCTTGGAGAGGTCGGGGCCGACTCCGTGCTACCGGCAAGGGAATCGACAGAAAACCGACGCGCGTGGGCCGCTCTGGGAAGAGAATGGTACGAAACAGGCGCGGCTGTGACAGTCGCGTCCAGAACCAGTGTACGCAGGGAAGGGTAAGGTTGATGCCGCTGCCCTTGCGGCGGCTCGAGAAAGCGCGGGAGACGTTGGGCGCGTCGATTTCTCCGCGCTCGAGCTTCCCGCAGCGGGAACGCAATCGCCATCGTTCCTCGCGTGCATTATGCGCATGCGCGACGCTGTGGCCAATGCTCTGGCTGATCTCAGCATCAATTTCCCGATCGACATTTTCGGGGACGAGATGAGGGCTTGCGACGTGGGCGTCTCCTAGGCCCAGGCGGTCCCTGCCGCTGAAAAGCTACGTGATGCAGGACAACCTGAGCCAGATGGCCAGCCGCGTTGGGGGCAAACCTGTCGTGCAACTAATAGACGCCTGCTGCAAGTCGCACCGACTGCAGGTTAGGTCATGCCACTGTGCGGAAGCGCTAGCAGCAGCCCGCGACCTAGAAGACCGCTTCCCAACCGCGATGACACTGCACTAGCTCAAGGCGGGGCCGCCGACACCAACACAAGTCAAACACTTTGTGGACATTGGTGGTCTGCGCATTACGGTGACTCTTATCATTGACGCCGCGCCCGTACGTAAGCTCCTACATGGCCAAGATTTTGAGAAATTTACTGGGTGCACCTTTTTGGGTCATATTAGCTGGGTCAGACAGCTGATGGATTGGGGGTCTCACGCAGAACTTACAATGGTGTGACACGTGGGGTACGGCAGCCGATGGACATACCAACAGAACGGCGGGCACGCAATTCATACAGCACGAGCTGAAGATATTCCATGCGTGGGGACACGCCGAAGTGAATGAGCCTTCTGTTGCCGCCTTTCCTATTGTCTTCTGTGCGCTGTGCCTGTATTTGATTGCGTGGACCCGCGCCGATGTTGCATCGTATGCTTGGGCGCGCGTCATTTCTAGTCTGCTCTGCGCTATCCTCGCAGGCTCGGTTTTGGCGCGTGGCCGAGACGGGCACGGCTTGCCGTGGCCGCTATTTACATCGCGCGTGGGCCCCCACCTGTTCAAAGCGTTTATCGTAGTTGAAATAACCTCCTTAAGGCTAGGTGCGTCTTGTGGGACTGTTTCGCAGAATGTATCTTCACGCCCGCCACCGCGTATGTCCCCCCTCCCGATTCCGACTGCGAACGCAGGACAGTGGGCTGGGCAACAAAGCGGGCGCAGCGATCGTCGGCGCCGCCGTTTGTTGTTCTAGCGGTCGGCGCTCTGTTTGCCGGGATCGGAAGCGCAGCGATCGACCCGCTATTGCATTGAATCCTGGAAGATGCCTCCCACATCAATTTTTCACCACCATCGCTACATTTCACGATGTCTACTTCACATTTTTTGCCACCGCGAGACACCGCGGCGGGGCGCCCCTGGCCACCGCGCGCCCGCCGGGGGCGGAGGGGCGGTCCACTGCGTCCGAATCGCCGCAGCGACGGCGGGGTCATGCCTCTCGCGCGCTCACGCAGCTTTGCTTCGCGCGACACGGACGCGACACCGAAGCCGATTTCCTGGCGGAGGGCTCTACGTCCCACTGCGATCTCACCCCCGAACCTCCTGTCCGAGGGGTTCTCTGATGATGTAGTGTTGTACCAAGGCATTTTACAAGATACCTGAAGAGCCCTGAGAACGTCCTCAGACAGGCTAAGGTTATCACAGGCAAGCATGGTGATCTCCTAAGGGGTCCTTGGAGAGTTCCTGGGGACCCCCCATGATTCTATAAGACTTTGTGAGGATTTGCAGAGGATGCCTCAGCAATTCTTGGCACACCGGAAGCATTACTGAGGAACCATTAATGTCTCCATTGGTTTTGTAGGACATTCTGCGAACTCCCCCTTGAATTGTTCAGAAGTTTCTTCTGCGGAATTCTTACGGGACGGTGCGAAATCCATGCGCCATTCTCAGGAACCCTGGCTAAGTGCTTGTGCCGAATTTCGATGGGATCCCGCATGAAAGGCTTAGGGTGCCTTGGGGTGCCCGGAGTATTGCACTGCCGTGGAAGATTCTCTCTATTGGAAATGGCCTGACGGCCGGTGCCGCCGACCCTGATCGAAAGGGCTAGGAGTGGGGGGAGGAAGCGGAGGAGGAGGAGGAGGAGGAGGAGGAGGAGGAGGAGGAGGAGAAGGAGGCGGAGGAGGAGGAGGAGAAGGAGCAGGAGGAGGAGGAGGAGGAGGAGGAAGAGGAGGAGGAGGAGGAGGAGGAGGAGGAGAGGAGAGGAGGAGGAGGAGAGGAAGTGCATCCTTTGTGTGCCCGCTCGAAGAAAGTGCGCCCTGGGAGTGTGATATTCTGACTTGGGACGTGCTCCCGGAAGAGGAAGAAGTGCATCTCGGGCGTGCCCGCTCGAGGAAAATGCGCCCTAGAGGGGTGGTAGTTTGACTCGGGGCCCGCTCCCGGGACGCCTCTGCGGGAGGAGGAGGAGGAGGAGGAGGAGGAGGAGAAGGAGGAGAGGAGCAGGAGGAGGAGGAGGAGGAGGAGGAGGAAAAGGAGGAGGAGGAGGAGGAAAAGAAGGAGGAGGAAGTGCATCCTGTGCGTGCCCGCTCGAAGAAAGTGCGCCCCGGCGGGCGTCGTATCTGCCCCGGCCGCCCCCCCCCCCTTGCGGGGAAGGGATCAAAGGGAAGGGGCTTCTCTTCGACTCCACTACGACGTCGTTTAATTTCGCTTTGGATAGCGCGCTTGAGGAGGAGAGCCTTGGGAGGGGGAGAACGGAGACGACGGAGACGACGAGTCGAACGGAGAAGCCCCTCACACACGCCGACAGGGTCGGCGGATTTCCAGACTTAGGGTGCCTTGGGGTGCCCGGAGTATTGCACTGCCGTGGAAGATTCTCTTTATTTCCACGAGATGAAGGGGGGCGCTCTGATTGCGTACTAGGATTGCACACTGTGCAGCTTGAGGTGTATGCACATCGTGAGCGTTTTCTCCTCCCTCCTGCTGCTTTTCCTCCTCCTCCTCCTCCTCCTCCTCCTCCTCGCCATGGCCAGCATCTCCCTCGTCCTCCTCGGCGGCGGGTCCCTGCACCAGGTGGAGGGCAGGGCCATGCGGGAGCCCCCCGCCTGAGGCCGCTGGCTTTTCCCGCGCCACGGGCGCGGGGGTGGGGCGCGTCGGCTCCGACCGACTCGTTTCCGCTTCGCTCTCCCTCCCGCTCTCACTCGCTCACTCCCCTCCTGTTGGCGATGACGGTGATGATCACCATTCCCAGCAGCATCTGCATTTGCATTTGCATCTGCATCATCACCATCACCAACACCATTACCACCATCCTTCTCCCCATCGTAATCACCATCACCATCGTCAGCAACGTCACAACCATCATCGTCAGCCGAATCCTTCTCCTCCTCCTCCTCCTCCTCCTCCTTCTCCTTCTATTCCTCATTGGCATAGCGCAGCGAGGCACGCCTCCACAGTCCCCAGATGCCCCGAGCGCTTGCTCGCCGCGTGCGCGCGCACGCGCGAGCTCTGCCGCACCCCCCCCCCGGCGGAAGGCGCGCGATGGCGCCGAGCTGCCGCGGCGCCGTCACCCTGGCGCTCCTGCTGCACGACCTGGCCTGGGTGAGCTTCGTGCCCGAGGTGCGCAGAGCTGAATTCGAATCCTCCGACTCGATTCGATTCAATGTCTGCTCCGACTCAGATTCGATCTGGCTTCGGGTGCCGATTTGGAGTGCTGTTGCTTGATGGAGGCCTGACTAGCCTGCCGACGTCCGACGGTTCGACTTCTCCCGACTTGGTTGCCGATGTCCGCCGATCTGATTCGTTTATATCGCCGAACCGGCTTTTCGATTCAATTCTGGACTCTTTTGAGTGCGCCGCGGCCGAGAGACACGTCGGGCGCTGGCCGAAACGTCGATCGATTGAGATTCCGCGGGCAGCTCGTTTGCAACGTACCGCGTCGGCGTCTCCCGAGGCGTCGTCGAGCCTCGACCAGGGAATGGTACGGAGACTAGTTGGGCTTGAGGAAATTCCTCCTCCTCCTCCTCCCTCCTCCTCCCTCCTCCTCCTCGTCCTCCTCCTCATCGTCCTCCTTCTCGTCCTCCTCCTCCTCCTCCTCCTCCTCCTCATCCTCCTCCTCCTCCTCCTCCTCCTCCTCCTCCTGATCGTCCTTGTGTTCCTCCTTCTCCTCCTCCTCCTCCTCCTCCTCCTCCTCCTCCTCCTCCTCCTCCTCCTCCTCCTCCTCCTCTTCCTCCATCGCCCCTGCGAGCGACGCCGACGGCAAGAGTCTATACGCCCGCGCGCGTGGTCCGTGTCCACAGCCTCGCGGCCTGGGCTCTTCGGCCGCGGCCCCGAGGGCGCAGGGCGGCTCGGCGAGGCTGTGCGTGCGCGCGTGCGTGCGCGTGCGCGCGTGCGTGCGCGTGCGCGTGCGCGTGCGCGTGCGCGTGCGCGTGCGCGTGCGCGTGCGTGCGTGCGTGCGTGCGTGCGTGTGTGTGTGTGTGTGTGTGTGTGCTTGTGTGTTTGTGCGTGCGTGCGTGCATGTGCGTGCGTGTGCGTGCGTGCATGTGTGCTTGTGTGTGCGTGCGTGTGTGCGTGTGCGTGCGTGTGGTGTGTGTGTATGTTTGTGTGCTTGTGTGTCTGTTTGTCTGTTTGTGTGTTTGTGCGTGCGTGCGTGCATGTGTGTGTGTGTGCGTGTGTGTGCGTGTGTGTAGGGTGTGTGGAGGGGCGGTGGGGTGGGGTCGGGAGACGTCGGCTGACCACCCCACCTACCCTGGAAAACCCCTGTCCTGAGCCCAGGGGCGATATTTTTGCTCTCCCAGCCTGGCCAGAGAGGCACACACGGTGGGGGCATTGGATAATGAAGCATGGAATCAGGAATCCAGTTTCTGGAAGACCGTGGAACTCCAATCGTGGACTTGCCATGTCTGTCGCCGCCGCCCCCATCCGATGAGTCACCCTCCAGGTTCTGGAACCTCCCGGGCAGGTTCATTAACCAACCGCCCCCCCCCCCGTGCACCCATCCTGGACCCACGCTCGGCCTGGCCAGGATCCGATCCTGGCCAGGCCGATCGGCCTGGCCAGGAAGACACACCGATCACCTCACCGATCCGGTGAGGTGGTCGGTGTGTCTCCCTCGAGGTGGTGGCGGGTGGCAGGGGGCAGGGAGAGGGGACAGACCGAGGGGGGGACGGGGCTGTTCTGGCTCGGGCACGCAGAAGACCCGCCGACCTGGATCCGAAGGCAGATGCGGAGCGTCCATGTGGCCTGCTCGACCGGCAGTTCCAAGACAATCTCGGCTCAGCACGACCATGACTCGTCCGTTTTGGCACGTCGGGCATCATTGGCAGAGGAGAGGGAGAGAGTCGACTACACGCAAGAGTGACCCTTCGCCAGAGTGACCTCTGGTGCGGGCCCACGGGGGTCCCCCAAAGGCCGAGCGCGAGGCGGTAGTAGCGTCTGGCGCGCTTGGGGTTGCCCCCCCCCCCCCCCCTTCGCTCCGCGGGCCCCAAGGAGCCGCGCACCAAAAGTCACTCTTACCCAGGGTCACTCCTGCGTGTAGCCGACAAGAGGGGGAGAGACGGAGAGCGGGGGAGAGGGCGAGGGCCAGGGCCAGAGGGAGGCGTAGGGGGGGGGGGCGGTGGCGGTGGCGGCATGGTCCCCGACAAGGGGCGGCGCCGCGCGCACCTGGCGCGGGGCAGGCGGGGGAGCCACCGACCCTCAGATCCGGGCGCTGCGATTTTTGAGAGACGGGCGTTTTTGCTGGGTTTCGGGCACCCCGGGCCCTCACGGATCGATCCGGCTCGAAAAACTACGCAGAAAGGTAATGTCTAGGGTTTCAGTCGTGATTATTTTAGCGATGCTGCAATTTTTGTGCAATGTCGGGTGTGAGGGGAGTTGGCCGACTGAGGTGGCCCAGTTTGCTGGGCTGCGCTTGTTGGGCTGGCCGAGCTGGCTCAGCTTGGTGGGCCAGCTGCGCCAGGCTGGTTGGGCGGGCTTTGCTGAGCTGGCCTGGCCGTGGCGGGGGTGGTTGGGCTGCCTGGCTTGCTGGGCTGCGTGGGCTGGCTGTGCCTGGCTGGCTGTACCACACTGGCTGGCCTGGCTGGCCTGGGCTGGGCTGTGCCGAGCTGGTTGGGGCTAGCGGGGAGCGTTTTGCCGCAGCGACGCAGGGTAGAGCGAGGCAGAGACAGGTCGAGAGAGGGAGATAAAGGCAGGGCGAGGATACAAGGATCCAGCAGCCGCGCCAAGGCGGGCGTGCTGGCGATGCTTGCAGGCCTCGTGCTTCAGGCGAAGCTTGTGCGGGAGGAGCAGGCCTTAGGGGCGGCAGCAATCCACCAATCCCTGGAGAAGCATGGCTGCGAGGCTCTGTCTGTGGAGTAGGTCTGCTACTCCTCCTCCTCCTCCTCCTCCTCCTCCTCCTCCTCATCATCATCATCATCAACATCATCATCATCATCACCATCAGCATCATCAGCATCATCATCAGCATCAACATCAGCATCATCATCGTCATCATCCTCAACAGCAGCATCAGCATCATCGGCATCAGCATCATCACTAACAGCATCATCAGCAGCATCCACAGCATCAGCATCAGCATCAGCATCATCATCGTCGTCATCGTCATCAGCATCACCATCATCGTCATCACCACAACCATCATCCTCACCATCATCATCATCATCATCATCATCATCATCACCATCACCATCAGCATTACCATGATCATCGACATCATCATCAACCACATCAACACCATCAACATCATCAACATCATCATCAACATCATCCACATCAACATCTGCATCTCATCATCATTATTATTGCTGTTAGTCCCACCACAATCACCATCACCATCACCAGGACCAATACCATCACCATCAGCATCACCATCACCGTCACCGCCACCATCACCCTCACCATTACCAAGCCACTGCCATCCTGAGGCTATCTTTGTGCACAGCGGCATCATGACACCTCAACGTGCGGGTACCATCATTGCCACCGCTGCGACTTGCCATCCGAAGCCATCTGTCTTGAGCTGTGCTCCGTGCCTCAGCGGCTCCCCGATCGGCCCCGACTGTGCGATGGCTGCGACGGCGCTGGGCGAGCACGCCGCAGGGGCCCGCTTCGATCCGATCCATCCGGCCTTCGACGGCGACCCTGGCCGGCACTGGAGAAGGATTGCACAAAAACCGAAGGATTGTAAAAAACCCTGGAGAAGGATTGCAATCCTTGGTTTTTTGCAATCCTTGTTTTTTTTTGCAATCCTTGTTTTGCAATCCTTCGTTTTTTTTGCAATCATTCGATGCCCGCACGCCTCTGCCGTGCATCCTGGCGCGGTCGGCACGGTTCGATGTCGGCTCTTGTTTTGGGGCTTAGGGTTTAGGGTTTAGGGTTTAGGGTTCAGGGCTTAGGTTTTAGGATTTGTTGGTCCCCTCCCATCTCTCCAACTCCGGCTCCGACTCTGGCGCACGGGACACGCGCCTCTGTCCAGCAAGTGCAGTGGCCAGGCCTTGACCCGCCCACCCGCGCTGCCCCTGTAGGGGGCCCGCTGACCGACCCGCCGGCGAACTCGGCGAGCTCTGCTCTGCTCTGCTCTGCTCCCGTGCTGGTTTTCGGCCCGATCCAGCTTACATTTGCCATACAGGCAAAGGGGAATCTGAGGGCAACGGGTCCTGAGGTTTCTTCTCCGTCTTCGGGCCCCCCATGCCCTCCACGGGCCCCAGGACCGTCCACAAAGCGACGCGGGATAATAAGCTGGACTGGGGGAGAGGCCTCAGGACCCGCTTCCCGCAGCACCCTCCGCGTCCCTCATGCCAACACGTACGTACGTACAGTCTGGTCCTGTCTGGCTACCCGATGCAGCCGGTCCTGCGCTGCAATCTGGTGGTCGTCTGCGTGTGGCAAGCGCCACTTGCAGCGCGGCAGGCTGGCCGGCGTTGGTTCGCGGGTCGGTGGCCGTGAGGATCATCGGCGCTCCAGCCGGCTGGCGCGCACAAGGGGAGCGGAGCGGCAGGATCGCCATGGAGCAAACTCGAGGGAAGACGCACGATGACCCTGGCCATGACCACGCAGCCGCGGTATTTCGTCGACGCCGATCTTGGTCATGTTCCCTGCCGGCCGTCACCGATTCGCGAGGATGGTCCACGAGTTGACGATGATTCGGCGTCACCCCAACATGCTCATACTATGTGTGCATCGCCCCCTACGACGCGCGCGCCGAGAAATCTTATGGCATAAGTTCCGCGGCGGGCGCCTTTTGGCCGCACCGCTCGGGAAACGATATACTGCAAGATGGTTGCGTTTTGTGTTTGAAAGAACGTGTTCTACCGCTGCTGGCGGAAAACCGGGGGGGGTCACTGGGGGTTCCCAACCCGTCCCCCCCCTCGAAAATCGGGGGTGGTCACTGACGGTTCGACCCCCCCCCCAGGCCATCATGAAAAGGGGGGGGTCACTACCGGTTCGAACCCCCCCCCCCTCTGAAAACAGGGGGGGTCACTACTGGTTCGAGGGGGGCCACTACCGGTTCAACCCCCCCCTCCCCCTCGCCGCCAGCAAACGATTCCCGCTCCTCGGGACAGTTGGACAATGGTGGGGATGCTGAGACAGTGGTGGGAACGGTGGTGGTGGGGACAGTGGTGCGGGCACAGTGGGACAGTGGTGCGGACACTGGTGGGGACGGTGGTGGTGGGGACAGTGGTGAGGGGACAGCGGGACAGCGGTGGGGACAGTGGGACAGTGGTGGGGACGGCAGTGGTGAAGGCGGTGGTAAGGACAGTGGTAGGACAGTAGTACAGTGAGGAAAGTGGTGGGGACAGTGGGGACAGTAGTACAGTGATGGGGACAGTGGGGACGGTGGGACAGCACAGTGGGACAGCGGCGGGGACAGTGGGACAGTGGTGGGTACAGTGGGGACAGTGGGACAGTGGTGGGGACCGTGGGGAAACTAGGGAGAAGTGGGACCGTGGTGGGACAATGGTGGGGAGAGTGGGGACAGTGAGACACTGGTGGGGGCACTGGAGGGGACAGCGGGACAATGGTGGGAACAGAAAGGAAAGTGGGACAGTGCGGGGGACGGTGGTGGTGGGGACAGTGGTGTGGGGACAGTGGGAACGTGGTGGAAACAGTGGGACAGTGGAGGGTACAGTGGTGGTGGGGACAGTGGTGAGGGCGGTGGCGAGGACGGCGGTGGGATAATGGGACAGAGGTAGAATGGGGACAGTGGTGGGGACAGTGGTGGGAACAGTGGGACAGCTCAGTGGGACAGCGGCGGGGACAGTGGGACAGTGGGGACAGTGAGACAGTGGTTGCGGCCGTGGAGGAAATGGGGAGAGTGGAACCGTGGTGGGAACAGTGGGGACAGTGGGGACGGTGGTGGGACAGTGGGGACAGTGCTGGGCACAGTGGGACAGCTCAGTGGGACAGCGGCGGGCATAGTGGGACAGTGTGGACAGTGGGACAGTGGTTGGGGCCGTGGAGGAAGTGGGGAGAGTGGAACCGTGGTGGGAGCAGTGGTGGGGACAGTGGGGACAGTGCGACAGTGGTGGGGGCACTGGTGGGAACAGTGGGGACAGTGGTGGTGAGGACAGTGGTGCTGGGGACAGCAGTGGGGGATGTGGTGCGGACGGTGGTAGGGACCCGGTTCGTTTGCTGGCGGTGAGCGTGGGGTGGGGGGGGGGGGTTCGAACCGGTAGTGGCCCCCCCTGGTTTTCAAGGGGGGGGGGGTTCGAACTGGTGTGACCCCCCCCGGTTTTCCAAGGGGGGGGGTTAGGGGAGGGGGGGGGTTTTGCCGGGGGGTAGGGGGGGGGGGTCCAGCAGGGGGGGGGGGGGGGGGGGGAATATTTTCGGAGGGGGGGGGGGGGGGACCCCGGGTTCCAGAGGAAGAGGGGGGGGGGAAATTTCCACAGTAAAGCGGCGGTGGATCACGCTCTCTCTTATGTTTGGATCGCACGCATGCCTCCAAGGAGGACGCATAGCACTAGTATTGCCTTACGCCGTCCCATCTGGACCCATTACCGTCATGCCAACAGGAGTAGGAGAACAAATCGGCTGGAGCATAGTGTTTCGGAGGCCCGCGCAGATTTCTGGGATCGGCGCTGGGCCACCCTGGTTCCCATCCGTACACTTATCGGCTTCAAGTTGCCACACGCAAGTCCGTCGAATGCACTCTTGGATCGTGATGCATATGGGTCCCACTCGGCATGCATTCGCATCGGCTTGCTGCAGCGGACAGTTGCGTTGGGTGTTTTCTGACTCTTCCGACTCGGTCCAGCTCGATTTCGACCAATTCCGATTCCGATTCGACTCGAGTCAGACTTCGTTTCTGGCTTCGGCTTCCCAATGGAAGCCTCATAGCTGGTCAATTTCCGCTGACTCGATTTCTTCCGACTTGGTTGTCGATGTCCGCCGATCCGATTTATTTCGATCGCCGATCCGATTTACCGACTCGGTTCTGGGCGATCAAGAATGAAAAATCACACAGACACAAATAATCGTCGATCACCAGGAAATCTGGAACATGTGGGAAGTGGAGGGGGGGAGACGAGCCTCCAGAAACCATGAAAAATACAGTGAACCCTGGAACTCATGTCTACTTATTTGTGTGTCCCTGGGATTCTTCCACATCGCCTCAGTGCAGCCGCAGCTTGACATCATCCATGCCCGCGGCGCCCGCTCGTCTTGCGCGCCGTCCCGATGCCGCGCGAGGGGGTGCTGCTCCGCGCGGGCCGCGGCTCTGCGGCCTCGGCCCGTGCGGGAGCTGGGTCGGAAGCCTCTCCTGCGGCTCCCGTCGCCCTCTCTCGAGCAGTGGCGAAGCGTCTTGGCTCGCCTACGCCCTCACACCTTAGCGCTGCAACTGTTTCACACGGGGCGCTTCCGCCCGGCTTCGGGCCTGGGACCCTCACAGGTCTCGCTGTTCGATGCAGCTCGCAAAACGTCGCAGAAAGATGGGGTCCAGGGCTCGAATCGTGATTCTTCACGATGTTGATTTTTTTCGTAACGTCTGATCTCAGGGTAGACCCGCCAGAAAATGTTCCAAGAACCTTGTGGTCTGCGCGAAATGCTCTTAGACAATGTCTGTCTGAGGCCGTCGTGTTTTATCACATCGGGCCCAGGTTCTAAGACTATAGTTTTGAGTGTGTGTGTGGCAATCTAGCCTCAAAGTTAAACTCAAACAAACTCTAATAATGCTCCGATTCAACTCTGATTCAACTCTGGCCCGGGACTCTGTTTCATTTTTGTTTTTTGGAACTCTGATATAATTATGGTCTGAACTCCGAAATTTATTATGATTCGGCTGTCCCCAGCCAGAGCTAAATCATAGTTAAATCAGAGTTCCAGACCAGAGCTAAATCAGAGTTTCAGCTAAAACCAGAGAGATGGATCAGAGTTTCAGGCCAGAGCCAGATCAGAGTTTCAGCCACACCAGAGATGAATCAGAGTTTCAGGCCAGAGCCAAAACAGAGCTAAGTCAGAATACCATCAGAGTTCTGTCAGTCCCGGATGGAGGGCGCGGGGCGCGCTGCGCAAGTGCGCTTGTCGTCCTGCAAACTAAACGAAGGAGGGCCTCGCCGCAGGATGGGGGAAGAGGGAGAGGCCTCCTCCTCCCCATCTTCTAGCGTTTCCTCTCTCCTGCCCATCCCCCCTCCTCCCTTCGCTCTTTTTCCTACCTCGTCGATCCCCTCCCTCCTTCCTCCGCTTCCATCTCCCGCCCTTTCCCTCCTCCCCCGCTCGCGCCCCTCTTCCCCCCTCCCCCCTCCCCTCCTCATCAGTTTGGCTCCTCCCTCCTCCCCTTTATCCCCTCCCCTATCCTCCACCGTCCATCCTCCTCCTCTTCCTCCCCCCTTGGCCTCCCGAGTCCCGCTCCCTCCTTCCTGGGCCGCCGTCGCCGCACCTCTGCCCTCGGCCCCCATTCCTCTCTTCGTCCTTCTGTTCCTCCCCCTCCTCCTCCTCCTCCTCCTCCTCCTCCTCCCCCTGCCCCTCCTCCGTATCGAGGTTCAGCTTTCGCTCCTCGGCCTCAGTTTCCCGCCCTCGTTCTCGCCCTCGCTCCCACCCTCGCTCCAGGCCCCGCGCCCGGCCTCGTCTCCGCCATCGCCCCCGCGCCCGCCTTCGCCCCCGCCCGAGACCATTTTCACTTCAGCCCTTTTTCTCGCCATCGCCTTTGCTCCCGCCCTCGTTCCCGACGTCGCTCCCGCCCTCGATCTCGCCCTCGTTCCCGCCGCCCTCGTTTTCGCTTTCGCTCCCGCCCTCGCTCCCGCCCGCGTTCCCGCCCTTGTTCCCGCCATCGTTTCCGCCCTCGTTGTCGCTCTCGTTCCCGCCTTCGTTCCCGCCTTCGCTCCCGCCCTCGTTCTCGCCCTCGTTCCCGCCCTCGTTCCCGCCCTCATTCTCGCCTTCGTTCTCGCCCTCGTTCCAGGGCCGCCCGGAGGCCGCCAGGGATCCCGAGGGCCGCCGGGGGAATTCAGATTTGAAACGGAGTTTCGGCCAGACCTCAAACAGACTCCAAACGAAACCTACCTCAAACAGACCTTAATCGGAGTTGGGCCCAAAGCAGACCTCAAACAGACTTCACACAGACCTCCCGGAGGTTCCCTGGAGGTTCCCCGAAGGTTCCCTGGAGGTTCCCCGGAGGTTCCCCGGAGGTTCCCCGGAGGTTCCCCGAAGGTTCCCCGGAGGCGCCCGGGGGAACCCCAGAGGCGCCGAGGCGGCCCCCCGCCGTCATTCCCGCCCTCGCTCCCCCCCTCGTTCTCGCCCTCGTTCTCGCCCTCGTTACCGTCTCGCCCTCGTTCTCGCCCTCGTTTCCGCCCTCGTTCTCGCCTTCGTTCTCTCCTTCGTTTTCACCTTCGCTCTCGCCGTCGCTCCCGCGCTCGTTCCCGCCATCGCTCCCGCATTTGTTCTCGCCCTTGTTCCCGCCCTCGCTCCCGCCCTCGTTCCCGCCCTCGTTCCCTCCCTCGTTCTCACCCTCGTTCTCGCCCCCGCTCCCGCCCCCGTTCCCGCCCTCTTTATCTCCCTCGTTCTCGCCCTCGTTGCCGCCTTCGTTCCCGGCTTCGTTCCCGCCCTCGTTTTCGCCCTCAGTCCCGCCCTCGTTCCCGCCCTCATTGTCGCCTTCGTTCTCGCCCCCGTTCTCGCCCATCGCCCCCGCCCCCGTTTCCACCTCAGCTCCTGCCCTCGTTCCCGCAGTCGTTCTCGCGATCGTTCCTACCCTTGCCCCTTGTCTCCGCCTTCGTCCTGGGCACCTCCCAGGGCGCCCTCCGCGCCCCCGAGCCTTCCGAAAAGTGCAGCGTTTCTCCTCTGCGCCGCCTGCCCCCGACGTGCCCCGGGCGAGCGGCGGGGATTGGGGCGGCCACCGCAATGCGCATCCTTTCGCGGCGCGGCAGCCGGCAGCCCTGAGGAGCAAGCCTCGGGTGAGCCTTTTTGTTCGCCCCAGCTGCCGTTGAGCAGTTTTCTGCAGGGCCGGGCCGCGCAGGCGGGGGGCGCTGCCCCGCCCCCCCTGCGCAGGCCTTAGCCGTAGCGTTGCCGCAGGGCGGCGTGCGCAGGCGGGCCCAGCTCGCGGCATTGGGCAGCTGGCGGCTGGGCCCCCAGCCATTGCCTGCCGTTTGGTTTACGCATTCCTTCCGTTGCTCCTGAGGACGCATGCGCACGGGGCCGACCCGGAAGCGTTCTGGGCCGACGCCGCGACGTTGGTTTTGGTGGGCGCAAACCAAGCCAGAAGCAGACTTATTTTAGAGCTCCTAGTCATACCTAAATCAGACTTAAGCCTGATGGCCAGAGTTAAATCCGAGTTCCAGTTATACCTAATTCGGAGTTGGTGCTGAGGGCTAGACTTGAATCAGAGTTCCAGCGCAGACATGAATCAGACCTTCGTTCGAATTTTGGGCCTGAACAGAGAAACAGGATTTTCCCCCAGAAGATACACTTGACCAATGTTTTTGTTCTTAGAACACTATGTTTTCTAAGGCCCTGTCGTGGTAGGCCTATAGGAAAGCCGGGGCGGTCGGCCCCTGCTCAGCTCCCCCTCCTTTCCCACGGCCAACCTTGCACCGATCGATGCGATCCGATGGCTTTCTCGGCTGGACCTATCAGATTCGATTCTAGTTATCCGCCAATCCGCTGGGGCCAGCTGCTCGCCCAGCGCCTTTTGCGCATCCTGGCGTGGCCGGCGCGGTTCGAGTCTTGCTCCGCGCCGACGCGCCCCGGCTCGCAGCGCGCCCCGATCCGAGCCGAGTCCCCGAATCTGCTTCGCTACACGTAAGGGTGGCCCCTCGCCGGAGTGACCTTCGGCACGGGCCCACTCAGGTCCCCCAGCCGCCGAACGCGATGCGATAGTAGCGTTTTGCGCGCTTGTGTTTGGTTCCTCCGCGGCCCCCACGAAGCCGCGCACCAGGGGCCACTCTTGCCCAGGATCGCTCTTGCGTGTAGCCGACTTCGTGCTGGCCGATCTCGCCTCCTCCTCCGTTGCAGCACTGGCCCCGCGGTTTTTTTCCCCAGAGCCTCTGGGCCCATTCGGTCGGGCGCGAGTGGTTGGCGAGGAAAAGGTCGGGAACGCCCCTTCCAGTCAGGAGCGCGATCCCAAAGGAGTGAATCCGACCCGATTTGCCGATTCGCTCTCCCCCCCGTGGCCCCACTGCGATTGCGTTTGGCGGGGGGGGGTCGCTTCGGATCGTGAAGGGCCATAGAAACCCGAACCCAGATGACACAACGAAGGCGTAGTCTGACTTTGGTCCACGTCTTCGCATTAGGGGTGAAACCTGTGGGCGGTTTGGCTTGATGTGGGGAGGGTTTCCCTCTGCCGCTGGGCCACCCCCCCCCGAGATTGCTCACATGGCCACGCTTGGCTGGTAGGCTGGTTGGTTGTCTTGCCCGGTGGCTGGCTGGCAACTCGGCTGATTAGCTTGTTGCTCATATGTGTGATCGACAAGTGATTGGTGCTGTTGGCTGGCTGGCTGGTTGCGCGCGTCCGTGGTTTGTGAGGCTTCGGGGCTTCGGGGGCGGCTCCTGGATTGGGATTTGTGGTCGTGGCCGGCGGGCGCCCCCAGAGACCGCTCATCCGAAGCCAGGGAAAAAATCAAATTTTCTGCTCCGACGAGGCGTGGCGTTTTTGCGCGGGCCCTCCTGGGGTGGGTTCGTGGCTTCGGGAGCGCGAAGCTGCTAGTTGTTCGAAGGGGTTCTGGCCTCGGGAACGCAAACATGGCGTAAATTTTCAGTGTTTGTGGCTTCAGGAGCGCCAGGGCCTTTTTTGGAAGGGAGCGTGGTTTCGGGGACTCCAACCTGGTATCATCGAGAATGGGTTGTGGCTTCTGGAGCGCGAATCCAGTGTAAGTGAGGAGGAGTTGTGACTTGGGGAACGTGAGCCTGGCGAACTGTGCGAAGGATTTCGGTTTCCGTGGCGCGGCCTCGTGGGCGCGAATTTGTGGCGCGAATGTGGTGTCATTGATGAAGGTTTGTTGCAAATTCTAGCATTGGACCATGTGCACAAATTTGGACGGCCTCCACCCCGCAGCGCGTTGACCCACAAGGAATTTGGCGGACATCCCGTAGCCATTTTGGCTGAAGCCCTTTTCTGGGGCGAAAAGGAGCTGGCTTTTGGGTCCCGCACCGGCGGCGGTGCGGTCTTATCATCCAGCAGAACATCTGGCGTCGCTGACAGGGCGGCGGCGGGGGCGACCCCGACATGGAGGAGCACGGAGCCCCAGTACTGGCCAGGTTTGACATTGAGGGGATGTTGGGGGAGGGCACGTACGGCAAGGTCTACAAGGTGGTGGACAAAGAGTCGGGGCTGCCGTATGCCTTGAAGAAGATCCCGATCCAATACGACGAGGAGGGCGTGCCGAGCACCGCCATCCGCGAGGTGTCGCTGGTCAGGGAGTGCAACCACCCGAACATCATAAGGCTGTACGAGGTCATCTCGACGCCGTACGCCCTGCACCTCCTCTTCGAGTTCCTGGACATGGACCTGCGGATGTACCTGCGGAAGCACGGCGCCTACACCGACCCGCCCGCCCTGAGGGGCGCCGCGTACCAGTGCTCGTGCGCCATCGAGTACATCCACCTCCACCGCATTATACACCGCGACTTGAAGCCGCAAAACGTCTTGATCGACATAAAGTCGGGCCGCCTGAAGCTTGCGGATTTCGGGCTCGCAAGAGCCTACAGCGTGCCGCTGCGGGTCTACACGCACGAGGTGGTGACGCTATGGTACCGTGCCATCGAGATCCTGCTCGGGCAAACCAAGTACGCGACGCCCACGGACATCTGGTCGCTGGGCTGCATCGTCGCGGAGATGGCCACTGCGAAGGCACTCTTCCCGGGCGACTCGCAGATTGACACGATCTTCAAGATCTTCCGCGTCCTAGGGACTCCCACCGACGAGGTCTGGCCGGGCGTCTCCACCTTGCGCGAGTTCAAGCACACCTTCCCGCGCTGGCCGGCCACGCGGCTGGAGAGCACGCGCTCGGCCGGGCCAGCTCTTGGCGACACCGGCATCGAGATGCTCCAACTGTGTTTCGCGTACAACCCCGTCAACCGCCTATCCGCTCAGCGGCTTAAGCTCCACGCCTTCTTCGAGGGGGTTGAACCAGAGGTCGACCGCTGCGCCATCACTAGGAGGTGACATCGGTTGAACATACACGTGCTTTTCAGCTTCCAGTCTGTATGCAGATCGAGCGCTGCTCGTCTCCATGCCTTCCTAGCTGCCTCCTTCCCCGCATGCATTGATCCCTCTCGCTGCCTCCCTCTCTCTCTCTCTGGATTTATCCGCAAAGGATTCGCCCCCTGCCGCCGGCCCCCTCTCTGGGGCGCGATGTTGTAAGCTTTCGACAAAGGTACTGCAGACTCGGAAGTGCCAAACCGTTGTAGCACTCAACGTAATCTGGCCTCCGACGTGGAGCTCGAAGAAAATACCGGCGATGAGGCATCGGGAGCGCGAATATCGCGTAGTATTTTGCAAAGGATCGTAGCCCCAGGGGCGCGCAAGTTGCGTGATGTACGAGAGGTCGTGGTCTCGGAGTTGCGAACATGTTGTAATTTACCAGGGATCGTGGCCTCGGGGCCCAAATATATTGCCATTCAACAGGGATCGTTGCCTCGTGGGCGCGGATATTGTATAATGTGTTCCGGGGGTGTATGCCTTCGACGACGAACATCCTGGCTAATTTCCGAGACGGGGGCGCCAACATTGAGTAATTTACAAACGTTGGTGCCTTCGTGGACGCGCATGCTGCGTAAGTTGCGAACAATGGCCTCGGGGACGCGAACATCAAATGCTTTATGAAGGTTTGTGGCATCGGGGACGCGAGTTTTGTTTAATTTACAAGGGATGATGGCCTCGGCGACGCGAATATAGCATAATTCATGCAGTTGTGGCCTCGGGGACATGGACACTGGAAACTGGAGCTGAAGCAGGGAGCAGCAAGCCTAATCCTCTGCCCTGATGGCCCCGCAAGGGGGCCGTCGGACTATTGTTGTTATCTATGTATATTTGTATGTGTATATATATATACAGATGTACGTATCCAGCTGTCTGCGAAAAGTCCCGCATTCGCACCAGCCCAGCATTTTGGAAAACGTTCTGTCGAGGGTGGGGGAGCCGTGAAGAGCATGATGATTATGATGGTGGTGATGATGTTGATGATGATGAGGAGGAGGAGGATGTTGATGATAGTGGTGCTGATGCTGATGACGGTGATGATGGTGATGACGATTGGGGAGGAGGATGGTGATTATGCTCGTGATTTTAATGGCATGACGGGAAGCATCTTCGAGGTACGAGAAGCGAGCTGGACGTTATGGCTAATTCTGCAACGTATTTAATTATCTCTTGCTGGTAGGGGGTGGCGGGGACGCAGGGTGAGGGAACTATTTTTCAACTGGGGAGGTGCAGGAGGGGAAGGGCTCGGGGTACTTAAAACATCCGAACTTGGTGGATTACCCAGAATGGCGATTTCGCCAGCCTCACAAAACCTAAATGTTTGGGGCTATCGTTTAAAACGTCTTATGCTAACAATGAGCGTTTCGCCGGATACATCCTCGGAAAACGATGATGTTGAAATCGACGGATTAATTGTCGAATCGTCCGAAATGGTCGTTTCGCCTGAGACATCCTCAAAAACGTGGGATGTGTAAAAGGTTGTGTTCAAGCATCTTTTCGAAACGATCTCGGATAACTTCCAAGATGGCCGAAGAAGGCGAAATCATTGAAAAACCCATTTGATGTTAACAGTTTTGTTAAAACCAGAGCGTGTCGCTCGAGACATCCTCCAACAATCGCCTTCGGACGGGTCCTCGAAGGCGAAATTATCCAAAAACCGAAGGGTGTTCAACAGTTTTGTTAAACACCGAGCGTTTCGCTCGAGACATCCTCCAAACATTTCCTTCCGACGGGTCCTCGATACCATCAGGTTTCCTCCTCATCCTCTTTCTTTTTCTTCTTCTCGGGGTGAGCGGCACGTCTGAACTTGCGCGGGTAGTGGACGTTCAGTAAGAGCGCCTGCGCGACGTGCGACCTTGATGTTGGTGCACGTTCTTGCCAAGCTCTTCGATTTCACGCTCTTCTCCTCCTCTTCCTCCTCCGTTTCCTCTCCCTCCTCCTCTTGCTCATCATCTTCGTCCTCCTCCTGCTCCTCCTCGTCATTCTCACCTCACCCCCTATCCTTCCTCCTCCTCGCCACGTCTGATCTCGCGCGGATAGTGAACTCAATGTGGTACCCGTTTTTGAACGTGCGGGTGAGCGGCACGTCTGAATAATTTGTGCGGGTAGTGAAATCCATGTGGTACCCGTTTTTGAAGGTTCGGGTCAGCGGCACGTCGGAATTTGCGCGGGTAGTGGACTCCATGTGGCACCCTTTTTGGACGTTCAGTAGGAGCGCTTACGCGACATGCGACCTTGATGGTGGTGCACGTTCTTGCCAAACTCTTCGATTTCACGCGCTTTCCGCTCGTGTCAAGCAAGGTTCCCCAGAATGACGATTTCGCCCGAGACATCCTCACAACGTTGAGATGTTGGAGGCTATCGTTTAAGACCTCTTATGCTAAACATGAGCGTTTCGCCGGAGACATCCTCGGAGCACGAAGGTGTTGATATCGACGGCCTAAAGTTTCGAATCTTCGGAGATGGCAGTTTCGCCTGAGGCCTCCTCGAAAAAACGGGATGTGCACAAGATTGTGTTCAAGCATCTGTTCAGAGATCTCGGATGATTTCCACGATGGCCGAAGAAGGCGAAACCATTGAAAAACCCATCATTGAAAAACCCATGGGTGATCAACAGTTGTGTTAAAACCAGAGCGTTTCGCTCGAGACATCCTCCAAACATTGCCTTCGGACAGGTCCTCGATACCATTAGGTGTCCTCCTCATCCTCTTTCGTCGTCTTAAGTTCCTTCTCTTCCTCTTCCTTCTCCTCTTCTCGCTTATCTTCCTCTTCCTCTCCCGTATCTCCCTCTTCCTCTTCCTGCTCATCAGGTTCGTCCTCCTCCTGCTCCTCCTCGTCATCCTCACCTCACCTCCTGCCCTTCATCCTCCTCGCCACGTCTGAGCTCGCGCGGGTAGTGAACTCCACCTGGTACCTTTTGTGGACGTCTGGGTAGGCGGCACGTCTGAACTTTAACGGGTCGTGAACTCCGCTTGGTAATGTTTGATTGACGTTGGAATGAGCCGCACGTCGAAATTTGCGCGGGTGGTCAATTCCATTTGGTAGTTTTTGTGGACGTTCGGGGTGAGCGTGTCGTCTGAATTGGCGCGGGTAGTGAACGCCATCTGGTACCCCTTGTGGACGTGGTGCGCGACGTGCGACCTTGATGTTGGTGCGCGCCCTTGCCCAGCTGTTCAATATCACGCGCGCCTGAGACATCCTCACAAAATCGAGATGTCGGAGGCTATCGTTTTAAGACGCCTTACGCTAGAAATGAGCGTTTCGCTTGAGAATTTCCTCTAAACATCGGGATGTTGATGCCTACGGCCTAAATTTCGAATATGTGTGAGTGACAGTTTCGCCTGAGGCATCCTCGAAAGAGTTGGATGTGTAAAGGGTTGTGTTCAGCTATCTCTTCAGAGCGATCTCGGATGACCTCCAAGATGCCAGACGAAGGAAACAGTATTGACATCAACATGGTTCTTTATCAGTTCTGTTTGTTTAAAAAGAAGGTGTCGCTTGAGATGTCATTGCATTCGGACGAGTCCTTGACACCATCAGGTATCATCCTCACCTTCCTCTTCCTCTTCCGTCTCCTCTTCTCTCTTCTCCTCCTCTTCCTCCTCGTTCTCCTCTTCGTCGTCCTCATCCTGCTCATCATCTTCGTCCTCCTCCTACTCCTCCTCCTTGTCATTCTCACCTACTGCCCTTCCTCATCCTCGCCATGTCTGAACTCGCGCCGTTAGTGAATTCCATTTGGTACCCTTTGGACGTTCGGGGTGAGCGCCACGTCTGAACTTGCGCGGGTAGTGAACTCCATATGGCACCGTTTGGGGACATTTGGGGTGGGCGCCACGTCTGAACTTGCGCGGGTAGTCAACTCCACCTGGTATCCCCTGTGGACGATTGGGAAGAATGCCTACGCGACATGTGGCCTTAATGTTGGTGCACGTTCTTGCCACGCTCTTCGATTTCACGCGATTCCCGTTCATGTCAAGAAAGGTCCCTCAAACTAGCGATTTCGCCCGAGACATCCACACAACACATAGATCTTCGCGGCATCGCGTTTAATCAAAACACGCGTCTCGCTCGAGACATCATTGGAAAGCAGATCGCCGCGAAATTCATACATCTGTAAATATTTGCGTTTCGTCTGAGACATCTTAGCCCAAATGAGGTGTCGCCGGAGGTGTACGACTACATCTGATGTTGAACACCTTGTTTTCGCTCAGGACATCCGCAGAAAATTACCGACAGCACGGCCGACCCTAAAAAAACACACGGCAGAACAGTTGCATCTCGTTGGGAACATCCTCAACAAAAGAGGATGTTCTCAGCATCGTCTTGACATTGTTCTTGAAGCGCTTCAGAATGAGGAAAGAGAGCCCAACATGGATCCAACTATTGCTCCAAGAGCGCCCTGAAGACTGCCGAACATGACGATTTCGCTATGGACATCTTCAACACACATGCAAACTACAATAGTGTCAGTTTGAAAACTGCTGTTCGTCGTCTTGGATTCGGTCCTGAAAAGGCTTCCAGATGGCCCTAGCCAGGCTTCTAAAAATGACGATCTCGCTAGGGACATCCTCAAAGCAGAGAGTGTGTGACATCGCATTGACATCGTTTTTTTATGGCATCGAGACGGCCCCACACGAGCCCCAAACGAGCCCCAACATGACCCCAATAGCGCCCTCGAGAGTCTTCAAACTGCGCATTTCGTTAGATACATCCTAAACACATGAGTTGCTCGCAACACCGTTTTTCACAAAAACAAGCAGTTCGCCTGAGACATCCGCCAGACAGTGAGCACCGCGAATTTAACAAACGTACGGAAATGAAGACGCCTGAGACATCTCCGAAACCAGGTGATATTGAACATGATGATTTCAGACCATGCATGTTAGAACTGAGTTTTTCGCTTGAGACGTCTTCAGAAGATGGGCGGGACCACGTCAGCCCAACACGCAGGAGCAAGGCAGAACGCGCGAGAGCACGGCAGAACCACAAGAACACACGGGATCACGGCTGAACACACAGGAGCACGGCCGAACCACAAGAACACACGGGAGCACAGCCGAGCACAGGAGCACAGCAGAGCACACAGGAGCACGGCAGAATACATCAGAGCACGAGGAGCACGGCAGAACACACAGAATACATAGGAGCACGGCAGAACACACAGGAGCACGGCAGAACACACGGGTGCACGGCAGAATACACAGAACACACATTCCGTAGCCATTTTGGCTCAAGGCCAGCCTCGGGCGCGCGCGGGCGGGCTCGAGCAGATGGCGCGGGCGGGATCGCCGCGTGGCGGTTCCTGGTGTTCGGTGCAGCGGCGCTCGCGCGCCGAGCGGACCGCTGCGCGTCGGAGTGCGCAGGATGCATGCGACCGCGGGCTGGAGGCGGCGCGTGCGGAGGCGGAGGCCCTGAGGGCGGAGCTCGGCGAGTGCCACTCGCGGCTCGACGCGCTCGGTCGGGCCCTGGGCGACGGGGCGGTGGCCCGGCGGCTTGCAGCAGTCGCTCCGGCCCTTGCTGCCGTGCTGGAGGGGTTCATGCCGACGGTGAGCGACAAGTTACGGCGCGATGTCGCGCTTCATTCGGCCGCCGAGGGGCTGGACGTCGTGAGCGTCAGCACGCGCCAGCTGCGTGCTGCGCGCCGAGGGCCTCGGCTGGGCGGGCTCGGGCGAGCTGTGCCGCAGGAGGGCAAGGCGATCGAGGTCGAGATCTGCGTCGCCAGGCCTGTGGTACGCCTTCCGCCAGTGCTGGCTGCGGAGGCCCCCCGGCCTGAGCGCGGGCCAGTTCAGATGCGGGCCGAGGCGGCCCCGTTCTGGCCGCGACGGCCTCCGGGCTGCTGGGCCATGCTGGAGCCCGCCCGCGTCGACGTTCTCCTCGCTGCCCTCGGTGTTGGGCCGGTTGTCGAGGTTGCGGACGGCACCATGTGGCAGGTGACGGACGGCAGCGACCTACCAGCAGGCCCAGGGCACAAGCTGGAGGGCATGGCCGAGTGCATGCGCAAGTACGGCTCGGCCTTGGGCGAGCCGGATGCCGACGTCGAGGCGGAGCTCGTGACGGACGTTTTCGTGAGCGTCACCGAGGAGGTCGGCGACGGGATCGAGGGGGCGACCCTCGATGGCGATGACGGCGGCGTCGACGAGAAGAGCGAGCCCACGGTCGAGCTGGAGGCGCTCGCGGGGCGGCTGGGCGCGCTGGTGGAGGGCGCCGAGCCCACGGTCGAGCTGAAGAGCGACCTGGCGGCGCTGTCCGTGCGGCAGGGCGCGCTCGAGGAGAGCGCCGAAGCCAAGTGCCGCGGCCGTGCGCGCTGGAGGCGGCCTCGGAGCAGCTGGTCTCGCAGAAGGGCGACCTGGCGGCGCTGTCCGAGCAGCAGGGCATGCTGGCGGAGGGCGCCGAGCCCAGGGGCGAGCGGGAGGTGCTCTCGAGGCCGCTGAATGCGCTGGGGGCTCTGTGCGAGCAGAGGGAGGCGAAGATGGCCTCCCGCCACGCGTTCAGCGAGAGCTTGTTCTACTTCCTGGACGATTTCACGGTGGCGGCGATGATGTGCGTGGCCATTGGGCCCAAGTCGGGAGTTGAGTCTCTCCTGAGCTCGGTCGAGGCCCGCTTCATCGACGTCGGCCCTGGTGGTGTAGGCTGGGCAGATGCCGAGGGGCGTGAGCGTATCCTCGAGGGCCGCTTGCAGGTCGCCCAGATGCCGAGGGGCGTGAGGGGCCTCCTCGATGATTGAGGCGAGCAGTTGCATTCCGTGTGTAGCGCTGTTTTGCCTGTGAGTGAAGACTCCTGTGTTCAGTCGCAGTCGAGTTCGCTGTAGGCGGTGGCCCAAGGCGGCCCCGCTGGGAGGGCGCGAGGCGGCGCGGTGAAGGCCCTGCGCGGCCCCCGCGGCGAGAGGCGGCCCTAGGCGGCCCCTCTCGGGTGAGCGTGTCCTTTTCTTGGCCTTTTGGCCCCACCACTCCGCCTTGAAGGCCCCGTCTTTAACTTTAACTTTAACTTTAACGCACAGAACACAGAGGACCATTGCAGACCACACAGGAGCACGGCAGAACACACAGGTGCGCGGCAGAACACAGCAGGAGGTCCGTAGCCTTTTTGGCTCAAGCCATTCTGGCTCAAGCCATGCTGGCTCAAGACTCCATGCGGGGTCCCCTGAGCTCGGCATTGCGGCTGCGGGGGGGCCCCATCCGTGGGGTAGCCGGCGCGCGCGCGTCCGCCGACCGGCTCATTTTCGAGCTGGAGAGCAGGCTGGTGGCCGCTGAACGCAAGGCTCTCGCCTTCGAGTCTGCGCTGCTGCACCTCTTCGGCGACGCGGAGGTTGCGGAGAGGGTCGCCTGTGTTCTTCCTGCCCTCACGTCCCTCCTCGCGGGCGAGCGGCCCGAGGCGCTGGACATCCTTCGGCGCAACGTGGCGCTCCACTCCGAGGGGTCCTGCGGCGTGTCTCTGGTCTCAGCTGGCCATGCCGAGCTGCGCAAGGCCCAGAAGCACGCGCGTAGGCTCGAGGCGAGGAGGGCGGACACCCAGCCCGCGGCTCACGTGCTGTTGCAGGGCTCCCCGCCCCTCGAGGCCGAGAGCGGGCTCCGTCGCGACGCGCCCCCTTTCGTCCCGAGCTCGGGCTGCTGGTTGCCGCTGGACGGCCGCGGCCGCCTCTGCACGCGCGGCGCGACGTGCTATTCGTCGCGCCCCCCGCCGCCGCTCTCTGGTGTTCGAGGATCACGGCGACGAGGGCTCTCCGCGTGGCGAGGCGGCTGCTGCTGAGTTTCCGACCAGGGGCGCCCCCCCCGCCCTGGTCGACGGCTCTGAAGGGGTGAGTGGGGCCGCGGGCCCGCCGCAGGGCGCCGTGCCAGTTTCGCAGCCTGGCAGCGCGGCATCTCGTCATGCCCCTGGCTGGTAGCTGGCGCGCGCGGCAGTCGCCAGAGTCTGGCTGGGGCCATCGCTGGACGAGGGCGCCGTCCCCGAGGCTGCGGGCGGTGTGCTGCGGGTGCGGAGAGTCCGCTTTGCAGATGCCCCGCGCGTTTTCGAGATTGGGAGCTGCTCGGGCATGCGTGGTATTCTTCGGCGGGGGAGCGCGACAAGGTTTCTGGGCCCCGCCTGGGCGCGCCGCGCAAATGCCGTTGACCTCATGCACATGATCGAGGGCGACTCCTTCGGCCTCAGGATTCCTCCCACACGGAGGCCGCTGCGTCGCGGGGCGAGGTTCGCGGTCGGGCCTCGTCTGGTTGAAGCCCTTCCGCCTGGGATGTCTGTTGAGCGCGCCGGAGAGATAGATCGCCCTATCAGATTGCGTGGAGGGCTGTAGCTCGTATAGGCCCCGCGGGGCACGCAGTGAGTGAGTGGATTAGTGCAGTTGCGAGTCGAATGGGGTATTGTGTCGTATCTATCCTTTTCGGTCCTGCGCTTGGTGTGTTCTTGTGTAGTATATGCTCTTGTCAGTGCTGCACTTGATGGCTATCTTGTGTAGTATATACCAGAGGCTTCGCCTTCTGTCTGTGCTGCACGTGTCTGGGAAGGGGGCCCAAGGTGGCCTCCTCTGTCTGCGTTCTGGCCACCACCTGCCTTGAAGGCCCCGTCTTTAACTTTAACTTTAACACAGCAGGAGGAGCACGGCAGAGCACGGCAGAACATACAGGAGCACGGCAGAACACGCAGGAGCATTGCAGCAAGGCGGAACACGCACGCGCTCTGCTACGCCTGCGCGGGCGAAGGCGAGGGCGCCCTGGAGATCGCGGCCTGCTCCAGGTGCGGGGCCCACAGGGTGCTGGGCAGCCGCGCTGGAGCCAAGCCTCGCCTGAAGGAACGGTGCCCAGGCGATGAGACGAGCAAGTCAGGCAGGAACCAGCGCAGCCTGCGGGGGCGAGGGCTCCACCCTGGAGGCAGGCCACGAGCGGATAAGCAGAGAGCGAAGGGAAAGGGCACCCCCGCTCTGCGTTCGCAAGGGCCAGTGCCGGGACACGCCCAGGAGCGCTACCTGGAGTGGCTCGGCATCGAAACGGAGTCTGCAGGTGGTGCCTCGGTCGCAGCCAGCAGCTCAGGCGGCGGCCCAGCTGCTCCCGCGGCAGCGCAGGCGGCGGAGGTGGCGGCTGCCAGCCTGCCCCTGCAGCAGCCAGCCTCGACGAGAGCTGAGCTCCTCGGCGTGCACGAAGGAGTTCGCCGCCGCGAACAGCACGGCGATCGGCGGCCAGGTGAGCCGCAGGGTCCGCCGCCGTCTGGCGCGCCGCGGCCCGCCGTCTGAGAGTGAGTGAAGAATAAGCATCCTTCTGCTCACGAGTGTTGCTCCCTGTGGCGAGTAGGCGCGCGTGGCTCGCTTTGCTTTGGGACTCGGCTTCTCTCGGGAACTGTGGTCCCGTCTGGCCCTGTCCGCGTTCAGCTTGTTTTCCCCATGCGCCTTGAAGGCCCCGTCTTTAACTTTAACTTTAGCATTGCAGACCACGCATGAACACGGCGGAATACGCAGAACACACATGGGCACGGCAGGACAAGCAGGAGCGCGGCAGAAGACACAGGAGCACGGCAGTACACACAGGACCATGGCAGAACGCACAGGCGCACAGCAGGCATGACGGCAGAACACGCAGGAACAGAGTACATGGGAAAACGGCACAATACACAGACATGGCAGAACTTAAAGGAGTGCGGCAGATCACACAAGACCCACGGGAGCACGGCAGATCAAACAGGAGCACGGCAGGACACACAGGGGCACGGCTGAACACACAGGAGCACGCCAGTATACACAGCAGCACGGCAGTACACATAGGAGCACGGCGGAGCAGGCGGCATAATACACAGGAGCACGGCAGAACAAGCAGGAGCACGACACAACACGCAGGAGCATCCGTAGCCATTTTGGCTCAAGCCTGGCTCGGGCGCGCGGCGGCGGGCGCTTGGGCATGATGGCGCGGGCGGGGGCGCTGGGCAGTGCTCCTGGTGCTGCGCGCGCTTGCCTCGGCGAGCCGCGGCGGACGCGCGCGGAGCGTTCTGCGGCTCGGAGGCGGGCGCTCGAGGCAGCGGACAAAGGAGTGAAGGCGGCGCTCGCGGATGCAGCGGCCCTGCGCAGCGAGCTGGAGGCCGTTCGGCGGTGCTTCGCGTCCTACGTGGGCGACGCCGAGCTGGCCGACCGCCTGGAGGCGATCGCGCCCGCGCTGACGGCCTTGCTGCGGGGAGTGGCCCCCGAGCAGGAGGATGCAGCGCGGAGGAATGTGGCTCTCCGCGCCGACGCCTCTGGGGCCAGGGTTGCGCCGGCGCGCGGCCTCGCCCTGCGGCGGCCCCAGCGGCCCGCCAGGCTGGAGGCGAGGCGAGAGCGCAAGATCGAGTGCCACGTGGAGACTTGCGAGGCGGAGGCGCTGCCGCAGCTTGGCCGAGTTGTGGCCTTGCGCACGGCGTTGCGGTCGGCTGCGAGGCCCTTCGCCCCAGCTGGGATTGACCCCGTTGCCGGCGGCGGCGGTGCCCAGGTGGCGCAGGCCCAGATCGACGCCGATGGGTGCGACGAGGCGCAGCAGCAGCTTAACATGGAGTTCGAGCTGGCAGGGCGCGCCCGCGTCGGGCGTGGCGCCCGCGTCGGCGATTGCTACGTGCCTTCCCCTCTCTTCCCCGGGGTGTCGGAGGTTGACTTCGAGGTGGACTTCGCGCAGGCCGCGGGCGCTCTGGCGGCGCCGCCGCGCGCTTTACTCATATGTATTGTGTACTGTGTGTCCGCTCTGGCGGACACACAGTACACACTTTATTCATTCTCATAGTCCGCCTCGTGCTTTGCCTCAGAGTGTTTCGCCTGAGCCCCAGAGATCCGCGGCTATGTTTGGTAGCCGCGGGGGAATGACCGAGCACAAAAAAAGATTGTCAACGTTCTTCTGGTCGCGTGTCGTCTGCGTCCAGTATAAGAGTTCCTTTGGAGCCGAACAAAAAGGATGCTCACTGTTCTTCTGGTCGTGTGTCGTCTGCGTCCAGAATAAGAGCTCCTTTGAACGATCCGCTGCAAGTGGCGCATCTGTTTGAGTGCGCCAGGCTCTTGGAAGAAAGGAGCAGGCAGCGCGAATCGCAGGGCACTGTTAGTCCTGCGGCCACAGCCCCCCCAGTCGACGGTGAGAGCGAACCCACGCCCGTGGCCAAGAATCGTCGCAGGCAAATCGTGGAGACCCGTCTGGCCGCCAGGGGAGAGAAGAGGAGCTCTGGCCCGAGTCTCACTGCGAGCCAGGAGGAGCACGCCAAGCGTGTCAGACAACCCCAGCGCCCATGTGACAAAAGAGATCGGGATGAAATATGTTCGCCAAGGGGCAGTCAAAAGAGACGGTGTATTGCACATGTGAATGTTGACCCCATCGCTTCCGCCGATAGTCCGTGTGCTGCTCCACAGGGAAGTAAGCGACCGCGGGGCCCTCCCTCTTCCAATCATGTTAGTGAGCCGCGTGAGGCACGACCCTCTGGCGCAAACGTGAATGCCTTCAAACTCAACGCCTACTCTCAGGCGCGGTTGGGCATGATGCATGCGTCAGGTGACTGGTCCGCTCATCGTCGCGCGTTCGCTGCACGCTCGAGGGATACCCAGGCTGCTCTTCTTGGATGGCGTGGTGGTACTAAATACGTCGGTTGGAGAAAATGGGAAGATGTCTTCATTGCGGATCAAAATGGCAATACGAAGTGGTGGGAGACCATGATGTTTGGGAAAGAAGATTGGTCGATCTTCGTTGAAAAGTTACTCAACAGATTGCACCTGCCCGCCATTCTTGACTATCTGGCCAAGCCCAGAGTTACGGTTGCACGTACGGAGGAGGAGGAGAAGAAAGTTAACGATGATAGGATTGCGCGTCGCATTGCTCATAACTTTGAAAATGAGACTATCTTTGACTATGAGTCGGATAAGATTCCATTCGAAATACTGGGTGACAGCTTGTGTTTTGTCCAATGGATAAGAGGGCACTGGAGGTGCACGAACATGGGCTATAACAACACCTTGGAGGCGGCACAAAACACTCTTGGTGCTGTAACGGACACCTGCTTGAGAACTGCGTGTGCGGGGGCTGACCCGATCAAACATCTTTATAGGGAGGGTAACAGTTATGTTGATGAACTCACGTGGGCCTGCAGAGCTTGCCCACACACATCGAAGAGAAACGAGTATCTTGCCCCTCTATATACTTCGAAAGTTTTAGGATTGAGAGGTTACTTCGATGGGGGCACCTCGGATATTGGGCTGGGGGAGGCTGGTGGCTGCCGGCTTTTGTAGAACATCAAAATGCTTTACAGTGTCACGTGATTGCCGAGGAGGCGTTTGGCCTCGATAGGGAGTCAACCGTGACGGTCTGTGAGTTAACGGCCGCCTCGAAGCTAATTCACGCAATCTCGCAGATTGCGTCTGTTATAGATAGCGTTTCACACGCTCGGTAGAGCCACTTACGCCTGGTGGCCGCGGGGAGCACCGCTGCTTGTATGCGCTGGAGGACCCCACCGCAAAGCCCGCAAAGAGCCGCCGCGCGCTGCTGGCGAGTGCTCCGACTCCGACGGCGTGATCCTCGACGGCGAGGCCGACGTGGCCACCTCTTGCTCGGTTGGGGAGCAGCCAGCTGCCGAACCTGCTGGACGCGTTGCTGCCGCCGCCGCCGCGCACCTCGACGCCTTCCCGCAGGCCTTCTTCCGTGGGGGCGGCGGCGCCAAGGCTCGAGGCGAGGTCGCGGCTCGTGATTGGTGGCGCGCGAGAGCGGCCGTCGCCCGCGCTTGGCTCACGGCTGATTCCGCGACGGCGCAGGCGCCCTCGGATGAAGGAGCGAGCGCTGGAGGTACTGCAGGCGGGGCGCCGCTGCCTCCAGGCTTGGAATCGAGGAGTGGTTGGAGCAGCGTGGTTGGTGCTCCTTGTGAGACGTATTTTCCCTGCGTGTTCGGAATGCCTTCTGAGTGATGGTTCGCCTTGCACGTCTGTTCCCCATTGGAGGTGGGGGGCTGTGGTTGTTCAGTGGGTTATGTCTCCTGCATTTGAATGTGCGCGTGGTGTATTTGCAATGCAGTTGAGCTTGGGTTGTGATCATGCGTACCTTCTGTTCTCGCAGTGCTTGCATGATTGGCTTGGGCGGGTTGGGGACCAGAGCCAGTGGCTTTGCCGCCCGCCTTCCCTGGCCCGTGTCGAGAGGCGGCCCTAGGTGGCCCCTCTGGGGAGGGCGTGTCTCTGGACTCGGCTTCTTTCGGGACGCGGGCCCCGTCTGGCCCTGCCTGCGTTTCTGGCCACCACTTGCCTTGAAGGCCCCGTCTTTAACTTTAACTTTAACTTTAACTTTAACGTTAACACGCAGGAGCACGGCCGAACACATAGAACATCTAATTTCACGGCCGCACCCACATGCACACGCACATAGGCACACGCACACAGGCACACGCACACACACACACACATACAAACACACACACACGCACACACAGACACATACATACACATACAAACACGCACACACGCACACACAGAGAGGCAACATACGTTCACGCAGACAATAGGAGCACGGCAGAGCAGCACAGCATAACACAGCAGTGCCGCAGACCACGCACGGACGCACATGCACATATTCCACGCACGCACTCGCACGCGCAAGCGCACGCACGCCATGACACATCTGCGCGGTAGACCAACACAAGAGCATATTTTACACACCTAGTGGACAAAGACGACGCTTCCCGTTCTTGTCCGGTCCAGTTGTTGATGATCGTGTTGATAGCGATGAGGATGGTAATGGTAGTGATGAAGATGATTAGTGATGAGAGTGATGTTGGTGATAGTGATGATTATGATGGTGATGAGGATGATGTTGATGATAGTGATGCCGAGGATGATGATGGCGATGATGACGACAATGACGATGATCGGGATGAGGATGAGGATGACTGTGGTTGTGGACAGGATGATGCTGATGCTGATGATGCTGATGACACCGATTGGCCAAACCACTCGCGTTGCCGTTTCCAGTCGCTGGTAAGGTCGGACGTTGCACATCTCCATGCCTCCCTCGCCGTCTTGCTCCATCCTCTGCTGTTGACCTCTCTCTCTCCCTCTCTTTCTCTGTCGCTCCCCACCTATTCCCAGCAATACGCTGGCACATGTAGCGCAGGCATTCCGAGGAATGTTTCGTGGAGCGCGCGGGTCTCTCCAGCCTCTCTGAGCCTCCCCCCAACGCCCATCTCGAGAAGCAGCCATCCGCCCCCCTTCCCCTTTGCTCCCCCCTCACGGCTGGCGTCGTTAGCGAGCGGCCCCCTCCCTGGAGAAGCTCCCGCACGCTGGCCGGCCGCCGTTGGGCGCTGGCCCCCCCGGGCGCGCGCAGCACGCTGGCAGCGCTCGCGCGCGACCGCGGCAGTTTTTTTGTTGGCGGTTTAATCGCGCCCCGTTGTTTTGTTTTTTTGTGGTTCGTAGCTGCGCGCCCCACCCCACCAGCCCCGCAGCCGGTCTAAAGACCAGCTCGGGGAGGGGTGGCAGGTGGCAGGACTGGAGGGCCTGTGCAGTGTGGGAGGGCGGGAGGTCGGGCGGGGCTAGGACGAAGATAAGTCCGTTCCAGAGCGTTCGGGAACGCTCTCAGGGCGTTCCGGAACGCTCTGAGGAGGCCGCGGCGCCCGAGACATCCTCCAGAGCCGCTGGATATCAGAGATCCTCGATGTATCCTCACCCGATGCTATCCTCGTCCTGGCTTCGTTTTGCGGGAGGGGAGCATCTTCTGGGATGGGCTCACGGATTTGCTTGTCAAGGCGCGGCGCGCCGCTGCCGCGCAGGAAAGGGCCTGCGGCCCGCCGAGGGCAGGTCGCGACGCCACCTGCTGGACAAGGCGTGCGCCAGTCCAGAACGGTGTCCCGGTCCGAGGCTAGCGCGTGAGATCGACATCTGCAAAAGATACCCCCTGATCCCTGATGCTTTGGACCTCCCAACTCAGGTCTTCTGCCAACGAGAGCTGGGGGTCCTTCCTTGCTAATAACCGGGGGCCGAGGGGTGGAGCGAGGGGGGACCGCCCCTCCACACGGGTGGGGTGAGGAGTGTGCTGCACCTGTGCTTTGTCTGCCTCTGTGGCTGTCGGGGTGCGCCCTTAGGGGTGGAATGATCCGTGGTCCTGTGCGTCTTGACCTTGTGTCTTCCGAGTGAAGCCATCACCATCATCGTCATCGTCGTAATTATCATCCTCCTCCTTCGCATCATCATCATCATCATCATCATCATCATCATCATCATCATCGTCGTCGTCGTCGTCGTCGTCGTCGTCGTCGTCGTCGTCATCGTCATCGTCATCCTCATCATCACCATCACCATCGCCATCGCCATCA